TGCAAAGAAAACTTGCACTTTATTACGACCGTTGCAGGTTTACAAAAATAAAAGTAAAGATTTTTTTGTTCCGAAATTGATGCTATAAAATTGGTTATCGGTTATCTTCGACGAAATAAAAGCTAGTAACTAACGATAATAACGCATATTTTAAATACAAATTTGCGTATTTAAGTGTCTCATTTAGAGTTAAGAAAAAAAAAGAATAACATTTTTAAATTATACACGGAGATTTTTGTTCTAAACACATGTTTCTGATGAATGCGAGTAAAAAATGTATTAATACTATACATTGTGCACTTTACACAATGAATCAATTCAATTTGCAATGTATTACTACAATTATCACAATATATCTTGATATAAAAATGTTCAAACATTTAAAGTGACGCAAATAGATTGTAAATATAGTTTGAAAAAATACGTATCAATATTTCATTTTGAAAGTAAAAAGTAGGTACTAAAATAATATGCTTCGATCATAAACAATATGATAATGAGTTTTATTACATTTAACGTCGGTTCATTAAATTTTTTATTAGTTTACTCATGTATATATTTGTGCCTGGGGTAGGTTATATTAGCTAACTACTATTAAAAGTGTCTTTTAAAATACCATGGTATTATAAAAACGTTTAACACCGATATTCATTATATACATAAAATAGCAATTTTGTATAAAAAAATTCTTATATTCTAACATAACTATACTCAGTAAATACGACCAAACGACTTTTATCATAAAAAAACCCGGTACATAGACTATGAGCATAATATTATACTTATATATAATATTTAAATCTTTAAATCACATCCAATAGTATTTTTGAATAAAGAAGTCTATACGATATAGTATAATATTACAGGGAAATTATTAAGTTATGTAAATAAACAAGAATACTGCATATTATATTCAAATTATGTGTATTAAATGTTATAGATTAGTTAAGTTATAAAACATTGTAAACTCGTAAATTTATTGCTTGTTATTGAAATTAAATTAATCAGAAATACCTTAAGATAATACGTATCTTAGTGTACGTATACTATGCAAACATAATGTTTACATTTAAATTATGTAAAATAATTTGTTTATTTATCACATGACTTCATTATTCACACCCCTATGCAATTACATTACAGCCTATAGGTACATATTACATAATATATTATACAATTATAAACATTATAAACATAAAGAAAAATGTTCATTGTCAATTAGGAGTATAGAAAATTTCTTATACATATTTATTATTTAGATATCATAATCACTATAAAAATATGTGTTTAATAAATTAGAACTGCACGAATACAAAAATTTTATTTTTCACTCGCATTCAAACAAAAAAACAAAATATTTTAAATTATGAATGAAAATGAGAACAATTGTTAAATCTGAAAGAATACGAAACTAGAAAAACAAATTACGCATTACTTATTCTGCTATTAAATTGTATATATTACTTGCCTAAAATCTAAATTTAAAAAAAAAAAAAAACTCTAGAATAATAAATACGCCAAATGTTACTCATCTATTTCAAGTTAAATTATACAAACGCCAAATATATTTCCTTTGTAAAATTAAATGCTAGTGATCCGTAACTGATGTGTTGGATACAAAATACTTAATGAATGCAATGATAATGTGTACTACATATTGTTGTCATCGTTCATCGGTTAGTTGAACAAGTTTCAATTGTAAGGAGTTTAGGTGATTTGAAGTGGATGGACAGACATAACGTATAATATTAAAAAACTTGGTCGTAGTGTTCTTCATAAACTCATTCCAAAATGAAAATTCGTTTATTGAAAAGAACTGTAATTATATTGTGATGGCGGTTCTTATAACAATAACTCACTATTCGTGCGCGCCAAAAATCTCCTATATGCAATTATTTACGTATAATATGACCTTTAGACAAAATAATAAAAGAAAACTTGAGAGAGACCTAATGAGTGAACGCACGTCACAAAATATAATCATAATACCATTATTATTATTCGTTGTCCGACTTAGGGATTTCACTGCGCCCATATCAAAAATACAGTGAGAGTATAATATATCATATTTTATACGCAGTGCAGAGTAGATGTGTTTACATGTATTATTGTTAGGTTTTCTCAATTCCAGAATAAATCGTGAAGAATTTTCGTGATAAACAGATAATATTATTATTTCGGCCCGAATCTGTCGATTCACTAAACACTCGTAAACAAATACCGTATATTTGCAGTTTCCAAAATATACTATAGGTACTTGTATACTTTACAGCGGATGCGTGTGCTGTCGTGTGTAAACATTTTCGCCATTTGTATTATAAAACTCGTTGGAAGTGAAATGCTCAATTATCAGTGTCTTGCACGGCTATATATTATAAACTGTAATTTATAAATAATCTGAGGGTCAGAAATACGCGTTATTGCTATTTTTTTCGTGACTTAAGAGTGTAACAAAAAACGCATATGAGTACTTCGCTGTGGATCATTAGGATTTGGTTTGAAAAATCATCGAAACTCAATCGAAATTCGAACGTGCAGACATTCCCAACATTCAATTCCTATTTTATTATTATACACATCAGTACATCCACTATAATAATATATACACATATAAACTATAAGTACTGTATACATGAATTATTGTTATAGGCCATAAACCAATTTGGGCTTTCTACGTATTAAAAATCTCATGAACGGGATTTAGTGATTGATGGGGTTTAAATAATGAAACAAGAACTAATATTATACTAATGAACATTTTAATGATTTCGAAATCGAGTGCAGCACCATACTATATTATATAAAACATAGATACTCGCCAAACATCACTAGCGAAAATGATTGAACCTACACAATCGTAAATCAATTGAAATGCTGATAGATTATTTTAGTCTGGAGTTTGCATATTTATTTAGAAAGCGAATAACAGAAATCTAATTCCAAACAAATTTGCAAAATTATAAATTTTAAACACATATTTTTGATTATTTTGGTTTATTTTTATAAATACGTGTAATAAGAATATGTATGCTTTCCATTTCATTTCATAACTTTTTTTATATTTTAATTAATTTATAAGTAAGAAAAGATGTTCTTCAATAAAATGAATAAACTATAACATTGTTATTTTTGACGTGATATTTTTTCTTCTTTTGGACGTTATTTCAAAAATTATTTATGTAAAAATAGGCTTAATAAAAATAGGTTTATACATTTCTTTAAATACTTATTATACTATTTTATTATTCTGATTTCATCGTATATATTATCAATTGTATATATTTAATTGCGTATTTTAATCTTTTAAAGTGCATAGTATTTTTTAGTTTTTTTGCAGTAACTTCTAAGCCCAGCTCAAATTGCATTTAAAAATGTCTGTATTAAAACTTTATTCTCAAAGTTGAATAGCCTTAGTATTAATAAATATTATTCGAAATCTATACACAGTACATAAGTAATAATAAGTACGTGGTTTAACGATAAAGTGTGAAAAAACGTTGTGATAAACAAAAATCGAATCGTCAAGCGTTACACGTATAAAAATGTTGTCATTGCATCCTTTTGTCTGGGGGATGGAGGAAAAGGAAAATATACAAATATATATTTTTTAAACTAGCTAATTTCCTCTTTCATTCATGTATATAATAAATTATATATATAAATCGACTGATATATATATGTCGACCTCGCGTTAGTTTAGCGTGTGACCTTTCACTTGTCCACGAGATGTGTATATGTGTATACGACAAATATGTGTGTGTATCTAGAGCAAACAGCGGACCTATCGGGGCACGAAAATCGACCGGCTGTCGTTTCGCAACGTTTACCTCTTAAGATATAAAAATAAAATATCGGTCGTGACGGTTTAATAAAGAGGAGAAAATAAAAAGTAAAGGTATATTATGTATACGCCTATAATATGGATCACGGTAGTTAAATCTTCATTTGCGATATGTCATGTCTTCAGACCCCCTGCTGATGTTACTGTTGCAGTGTTGATGGCTTTAGTGGTACATCGTGCTTCGTAACGCCTTTACGAAATTTTAATGTTGCACAACCATTGAATCTTCGGACAAGTCACGGCGCCCATATTAATAATAATAATAACAACACTGGAGTTTACTATTAGATATCTTCTTTGCCATCCATGGTCACATGTATATAAATTACATTCACTGTCCAATAGTGTTATAAGTCCATGACGATAGCGATACTTGAGTGTAGCACAATACTGTTTATGATTTCGCCCACATGCAATTTGTAAGTGATTGAACTGTGTAAGACAATATAATATCTGTAGTTTTCCCATACGAATTACCTATTATAGGTTTCTACTAGTTTACCATTTTATATGAATTGAGTGTGATACAACATAGATTCGAAAAAATTTTGAACGGTTATAGATGCTAAAGAAACGATTATTAAATGTAAATATTATTATTTTTACGAACCTATTTGGCGTAGGTTAAAATTCATCACATTTAATTAATTACCTTAAATGTAGTTATTTATAAATTATAACACATAACATACTATTGACGATCATAGAAATTTAGGTTTTATTACTACTTCATAGTTAAAATATAATTTTGACGAACCAAAGGTATTAATATCACTTTAATTATTAACGCTGATTTGTTTATACTCACTCACATACGAATTAACTAATCAATAATCACTAGTTGATAAATTCAATATAGGTACTTACAAATTTTACATATTAAAATAAAGTAAAGTTATACCATGCGATGGTTTAATTTATACGTAATATATCATACGACGGCTTATAAATTTAATTTGAACAGTAATTCTTAGCTGAATTTGATTCGTGTGCATATAATATTGCAATAATAGTTAAGTAGGTACACAATTAATGCGTAAATATTTTATGCGTTTTAAGTGTACCTAACGCGCGTACTAAATATTACTAAAATTAAAACTACTGCTACTATGCTTTAATGCATACAAATGTGTATTACCTATAATATAATACTACTAACCTGTGAATACTCAGCGCACAAGTCGATGGTGCCAACGAAATCACACACATCATCTACCGTCCATGAAGACACAGTCGACTTGTCGGCCACATTGGGGCAGATGTGTTTATCGGCGTTGGCGATGGAGGTGGCCGGTGGAGCGGAACAGGTCGAAGCACAAGGTAACGCCCGGCTGGGGGCGGCCTGATGACACGGCGACTGTTTCGACGACGCTTTTGACGGTTTCGGCGACACGCTGCCTAGTCGCTTGTTGTTGCCGCCACCGCCATTGCAAGTCAGCGCGACTTTTTCCCGAGACTTTTGCAACGCCAGACCAAACGCCGGAATATTGAGGAACGTTTCGGCAAACGATCCAGCAGCCGCCGCAGCGCTCTCCCAGTGGCCGGTCGCAGGCGGATGACCTTTGCGTGATTTTTTGCACGGGCTCGATGACGACGAAAGGTCAAGCGGGTTCTGTTCGGACGAAGAAGCCGCGGACGCCGAGCCGATGTTGTGTGGGTGCAGAGGATTGGACGACGACGACGAGGTAGAGCAGGGCCGCTTGGTGCCGCCGCCGGTCTTGCCGCTCATAAACGCGTCGAATTGTGAAGACCGGACCATGGACAGTAGCGCCTGCGTGGACGACATGTCCATCATGGGCGGGAACATGGGCACGTTGGTCCCAGGTATGGTGGGAGTCGCGAACGGGAATCCCGGGTTCAGCAGACTTCCGTCGCAGCTGTTGTCTTTGGTTGTCGCAGCTGCGGCAGCTGCCGCTGCTGCAGCGGCAGTAGCAGCAGACAGTATGCCCAGGTTCAGACCGTTCCGCGAAGGCATGTACCTGTACCGAAAGGGGGACAGATAAATTCAATGCACATTTAAAACCTTGTTATTAAAATAATATTATGTATTATAGATATCTATAACTTAACCTAAAAAAATACCTTCTGTGTATCATAGGACGGCATAGGTATGTATACTATTTTCAATCATCATTAAATTAATCGATTGATAATATTAAAAAAATTAAGTAAATTGTGTGCGAGAACCACTAAATTGAAATGTTGAAACCAGTATCAAGTATGAAATGTATGAGGATTTAAATTAGTTGAAGATATTTAAAGATGAAGAACCAATATTTGATAAATAAATTATTATAATAGGATGAGAAAAAATTTTTCAATTTAAATTTGTAAAAAATAATAATTAAACGAATAATAAATAATATTATCAGGTGAAAACTTCACCTCCACAAGTATAGTGGTAACTTCAAATTAAAATTATGTTTCGATAGCAAATTATGCCCCAGCTGTAGCCTGGATTGACGCTATTGTACTATTATAGATCGACCAATCAGCAAACATAAAATCGGATGCCTTACCAAGAAGTGAGAGTTATAGATATATAATATATCTATTACCACACTATATAATATTATATGGATTCTGCGCATATTAATTGAAAAGCTTAATTAATAAAATAAATACGGAAACGTTAATAAAGGTTACTATTTAAATTTCATGACGTTTTAAAGACAGTATATTATTAAGTGCTGTTGTGATCTGGAAATTCACGGATAGAGTGACGAAGAAAAATCGATGTGCGTCGTTGACCTAAATAATAATAATATTTAAGTCGTATCACTATGGCAGAAAATAGCTAAACGACCGGCGAGAAATGTTGCATTCCAACGTTTTCGTACAACACTCAAGACTACGATAAAATATATACATACCTAACACATACGCTATATTAAAATAAGCTTATTTTAACGCATGTCATACATAAATGTGCACTTTGCATTATAGTCATGTAGAACAATATTTGATGCCTGGGACTGATAAAAATAAATCAGCACCTTTAACTGTAAACAGTCTTTTCCGCATTCATTTTCAATTTTAAAATTTTTTTTTTTTATAATTTTATTATATCTATAAAACACTATAGTAGTATATTATTATTAAAAATCCTTGAAAATACTATTGATAATAAAAATTTAAAAAATTTAATGGATATTAAAATACTTTAAAATCCTATTTTACTAGCCTTTTTATTTAAAGAAATTATTTCATTATAATCATCGAAAAAATTGATTTGTCGTGCACATAATTTGTTTTGTTAAGTTAAGTAATAATACTTGACATACGTATTTAGTAATTACGAGTGTACAAAACGATATTCAAAAAACCATTAACTTTAAAATGAATATATAATACTATTATTTTTTTTCTTAGTTTATTCTATAACCCTCTTATAAAATGAACCTCATTTCCTATACAAGTGGATCCAACAACACTGCATATGTTTGCCAGAGTATTATTCTTAATACGATTATCGTTAATACTGGCCCGGCGATTGCTGCTAAGATGCTAAGTACCTATATAATAATATTATAAATGCAGTGAGCTTATACACTATTTGGCGCGCGCGCACACAATGATTACAAGGCGCTGCGAGTTGGATCGTGTACGCAATAATAATAATAATAATAATATAGTCCTGTTAATCGTCTGAATGAAGAAAAAAACGCTCAGCTTATTTCGTGAGAATTGCCACCGCGCGTTGTAGTCGGTCGCTTTTTAAAACGAACGCGTTTTTTTTACTGAAAGAAAGCGTATGCGAGAGACGGTATGATAGTAATTATTTCGTCAATAATAGTTGTATACGAGCAGATCGTGACAGTAATTTTGATTATTTCACTTTATGCTTTTAATGAAAGTCCGCCGTATCGCCACACTCTTATTATTACTATTATCATTATTTTCGCGTCATAACTACCTACAACCAAGTGACAACGAATTCTGAGAAAACAATAAAAAAAATTTACGAGTTTACCTATACATTTTTTATGTACAATGATTGGGAAGGGAGAAGGTTCATACGGAAATTTGTATTTTTTTGGATATTTCCGGACACAAACTAAAAACGGCTAGTGTCAGTAGTGACATCGTTAAAATACAACTCAACAGCTACATATTTCTACAATACTAATAATACTACAAACCACCTCAACTGTAGACCGTAAACATATCATATGTGTATGTATTGCAGCTTACTGTAGTACAATAGTGACTATTGTATGATAAGTGTCTAACATCCCCCACCCATGAGTTGATTTCCAATAATTATTATATTGATCCTTGATTCTATAATATTGCAAATATTTACACTGTTTAATTAGGGTATTAAATAAAAATTATAATATTGAAGTTATCAAACATGATATAAACATTATCTTTCGGGTTTAAATCGTGTAGCTCTATAAAAATATGTAGTGCACACATTATGTTAATTAAATTCCTTCGAACAGGTTAAGTATATGTATTATACGATAAAAAACTAAAACGATCTCGTAAAGACTTCACACGATAATATCTTCTGTAATATGATAACGAGTAGTGATATTATTCCGCATTAATTAATCTATCGCGTATTACGCAATTTAAACTGCACATAATATTATGTATGTATGTATGCATGTAGGTTTTATAGAGGAAAACAATGAGATCGTAATAAATATAAACGTGAACTGTAGTGTAGGAAAAAATATTACGGACATTATAAATCGTGTTAAAAGGAAAAATTGCGCAAAATAATACGCTTATCCTAAATGTTCATCAAAATCATTTGATCGTAAATATTAATTTAATTACCATGCAGCTCGTGACGTTTTTTAGCTATTGTTACGACTTGTCTACAGGTTAATATAGTTGGGCGGCTATTCCGCGGAATGAATATCGTCTATTAATTTTAATGTCTGATTGTTTGACTTCGTCGTTTCTATATTGTACCGTGTAATTACGATATCGGTTAAGTATTTTGTTTTTCTATAACAGTAGTCAAATCATTATTAGAAAACAACAACATGTAACACTGCAAGGTCTTTAATACGTACATACGAATTTTGATCCCAGATAAATCAATCGGTGGAGTTTCGACGTGTAATCGCTACTAGATGCTATATAATTGCCACCAACGACTATTATCAATAAATTCAGAACGTCACTATATCGTTATTGGAATCAAACGAAAGACAATATCATACGACTAATAAAAACGCCGAGAACCCACTTGTACAGACATAATAATATACTCGTACGACGACGGCAGTGCCGATATAAAATATGTTTTTCGAAATACTTATACGAGTGCATTCCGATACGAGTCTGCGACGATTCGATATAGCCGAGAACCGTAATAAAAACGTGCGTACGATATCGTTTTGCAAGTATATACGGGTAAAACACTACTCACTCGCTGGGATTGGCATTCTGATACTTGGCGGCCAGACTTCGTATGAGGTCGCTGCAGTTTCGGTTGGGCGCGGGACTAGACACGCGGTCCGCCGCGGCCGAAATGCCGGGCGGCGTGCCGGGGTAGCACGACGAAGACGGCGTGCCGCTACGCGACGATGCCGAGTCACCGCCCGCCGCAACCACGGGGCTCAGGCGTTCCGTTTTCACGTCGGCCGCGGTCGCCACTCTGTTGTTATTGGCGCTGGTCGTGTTGTTGTTATTCACTGGGTGCTCGATCTGCATACCGACCCCCGAACGTCGGCTCTTCGACAAACCAAACAAGTCGATGTCTCTTTTGATGTCCACTGCGGGAAACAAACGAAATCAGAAACGTTATTAAAACCTTTAAGATATTTTTTTTTATTTTTTTTTTTTGTTATTCTTCGGTGTTAGTGACTTCTGCACCGTATATTTTTGAAACGTTTTGGACAAGTTATCAGCGATTGCATGCCAGTAAAACAATACAGACTGTCATTATCGCTATATTCGTGATGTCATCGATTTCAATAATTATTGTATTACATCTCCATAATGTATAATTAATTATTATTTTAGGCATTTTTTTTTCAGGTTATATAGAACATAAGTACCTACATATCTCTGAACAGTACTAATTATAATACAATCGTTTAGATCATAACTATATTTACAATCCTCGTGCGATTTATACGCATACACGTCCAATTCTCATACCGAATCGAACGAAGATTCAGATTATTATTGTAATAAAAGTGTTATTATGTGATTGTATGGAAAATTCGTTTAAATCTTTAAATTATTAAGTGGCTAGTACCGCGGTTAATCGTGATTAATAACGGTTATTAACAGTATAGATAACCGTGGGTCAGATTAAATTCAACCTACGTATCTAAAGTTCATCGATGCAACGACATTTCGTAACAAGCCATATATACATTATTTTACTCGCTGAATACTTCTGTATCATTCCTTATAATTTGTATTCCTATTAAATCATATTAAAACATAAAAATATTACAGCATAAAATTAATTTGTATCATCAACATTTGACATTTAAGAGGAGATAATTAATAACGAAAATATGTGCTGATATCACTAATGAAATTGACATATGCCTGCAAGGTACTTTTGTTGTAATTTTCTGTGGTAACGCTTATGTTACTGCGATTATTGCAAGTTAGTCGTTTTGAAAAAAAAAAACGTCATCTACTAGATTCTAATAATACTTTTTATAGTCAACTGTTTTAAATACGTACAAATTGTTTTTTAAGTACGCTCTACCTTTTAAAGCTAAAATTATACATTTATCATGTTCTATTTTATATAATACACCATTCGTTTGAAAATCGCAGAAGAACGCCTAACACTACTTTTTTAACCAGATTATTACTTTTAATAATATAAGTAAATTGAGTAAACGACATATTATATTTAAATTTTACAAATTAATCTGAAAACTACCATTATACACTAAGTTAATATCTTATCAATTGGATTATACTGCAAATTGATCTACGTGTACACTCACTTTGCTCACATTATAAAAGAAACATAATATATGCAATAATATTAAATCCTAATTGATTCCAGAAAACAATTGAACTCGCAAATAAACTCTCAAGACTTGTTCGCTTGGAATCTTTCATATTTCACACCACTATAATTACCATTACGCGGATGACAATGATTTGAAACAGTTGATCGAAAATCGAATGGTATGACGGACGATGTGGAAAAAAAACTGTCACCGACGACGTTTTCTCCAGACTTACTGACCGACGACAGAAATTATCCACTCGCGAGTATCACATTGCGGTGGACCGCAATCACCAATATATGTATACGACGTAGGTATACTATATTAAACTATACATCCATACGCAGTTATGCGTTACTTGTGGGTGGATATAGCAACAATATTATCTATAGATCAGTCTTACAAAAATTATGGCTGTTGACCATTTATTCATTGTCCACTATTCATAATGATTCATTTATAATCTACCAACGGATAATGATATATACAAGTATTATAACGTATACACTATACGGTAAACTCACAATAATAACTACGATATTTTCCATCACCTCGGTCGGTTAGTCAGTGAAAAGTCTTAAGTGCTGTGCAGTTCGATGACATTAGTACATCACTACGAAACGAGTCTTATTGTACAGTGTACATTGCACACGTATAAATACAAGAATTATCGCTTCCCATCTGACGATACATATCCATCCCATTTCCCGATAATTGCAAGACCATCAATCATTAATGTTTTTTATCAGCTCGTATTAAATTGTATGAAAATCGTTTGTTATAGATAATTGTAGTCTCTCGCAGTATACATACACATCCAAGCTGAGAGTCAAAATTGATTAAATGGCCACACGAAATTGAATTTAATATATTATATGCAGGGTGTAATATGGAAACTGTTGCAATGAGTGTGCTAAGGAACATTCAGCGTTCCTATATAAATGGCTGCAGCATATTAGTTCCATCCAAAACATAAAAATTGTGATAAATGATGTAACAGTTGTATCCAATAAAAAGGTCATATAAAAGCGTAATATTTTTATATATTCCTTTTATTTAAGTTAATTGATATTCGCTACTTCACATAAAAATTCATTTTCATCTCATTTTTAAATAAAATTATTATTAATATAATGTTAACGTATCATTGATTTTTTTCTCTTCAATCTATGCGCACATTATAAGTTGTTGTCTATCAGAGTCAATCTTATATTATAAGAATTAATATTAAAATGAATTTACCTATTTTAGACCTTAAAGTAAAGAAAATTATCTGTGTTTTTCTACTGTATTTCAATATTTCTGTGATATAAGAACATTTTTAAATTTTAATATATATTGTTATTTATAACTTACATAAAAATTGAAATAAATATCATAAAAACCAACCAAGTAATATGAATAGTATTTTTAACTTAAAGTTAGATAGTATGTAAATTCACTCTAATTAATTAGCATTAGCTAACAACATAAGATCTGTTGAATGAAAATTTGCTGTCATGGATCGGAAGGAATAAAATAATGCGCTGCCGTCCTTTGAACAAGGAGAAGATAATTTATTTTTATGTGAAGTATACTATAAGACTTAAACCGAGAGTGACAACAGTGAACAGTGTATTACGCCCGATTTTTAAGAGGCTTTAGATAGAAATATTAAATGATTACTATTAAACAATAACCCATAAAACCATAGATCACAAATATTTTAAATGAAAAATACTGATAAATATACAAATATCAAGGACGCCTTTACAAAATATCATAATAAATGTTTGTTAGATTTAAGGAGAAAATAATGATACGAACACTACATTAAGCACTTAGTTCAATCTTACACTAACGCTGAATCTGGAATTGGGAGGTCAGTCTTTTCAACTTCACTTAATATTTATATAGGTATACATGGCAAATGCGATCGATTCAAATTTTGAACTAAGTGTTTGTAAATTTTTTTTTTCAATCAAGAATCTACACATGCTATATGAAAATAAATCGCTGTTAATACACCTAAATATATAATAATAATATATTATATTATATTTTCAACAATGAAAACAGAGTAGCGACGACGATAGCACCAACCGTAAGTACATATTAATATTGACACGCACGTCATATAACATTTTTCTGTGCGAAGAAGTCTCATTCGTTCGTATTGTTATTATTATTATAATCTTAGACGATTCGTTACACGTGATTATTATCCCACATATTATTATACACGCAGAAGGCGCATACCACGACCGTCTGTATACTTTTTTACGTTTTTTTGGCACCCGTTGACCGTATATTACCACACACACACACATACGTAACTATTAACTATACAAGTAATACAAGCGCGTGCGTGCGTAAAAAAATAACGCCGCAAAATAATCCGCCCACGCCGTTTAATTTTTCCACGCTTATTTCGCAGCTCATGGCCAATTGGACACCGGCCATTATTATATATTTTAGTATTATTTGCCCTCGCCGCTTTGCAGAGTCCTGTCGTTGTAGGCCTACACAAATAATGGTATACACTATACATTATTATTATCGTATGAATCTAGATACGCGTATATATTATTATTAAAACACGAGAAGCGTGCGAATCCGACAAATTCGACGCAAGAAGTAAAAACCGGAAAGTTTCACGTTATAATATGTACCAAACTACCAACACACTAAACATTGTACAAGCTATAAAAAAAATGTTATATTATTATAACACGAGCCTGTTAGTTATATATACTCGATACTCGTATGTATATATAATATATATATATATATATATATATAAGATATAAAATATATTATTATGTTATATTTCGTTTTGCTGTGGTGACGTAGTACGACATATCAATTATCAACAATATACTATTTTTAAAAACAATTACTAATAACACATAATAATAACAACAAATAATAATATAACGGCAATAATATTAGTTTAGTACATACTACATACTACATTCCATCAAGTGCCAACTGCAGAATAATATAATAAAATACTGTGGTAGATAAAATAATATGTCTGGGTGCTATTTTCAATCACATCCGATGCATTATTTTATTGTTGTAATATTTCAATCTTATAAACTTTGAGTAAAACCTTTACACACACGAGCAACTAACCAAATCGCTTCTGTTTCATATTCAAATATTCGCGTTTATGAAATACCACGAACATCGATAAGTTATTATATTATTAAAAGTCTAAATCATTAGGCATCGACGTCATGATACCAACACAGACAGAATTTGAACCAACATCTGTTGGTACCGTTGATCGTTATACAAGGTTAAGAGTTGTGCAGCAAAAACATTTTATTCTTCCAAGTAATTACTTGAAAACTACCCAAGGGCCAAGACTTAGACGCGGTCGATAATACGGGACATCAATAATAATATTATTATCGTTTGTATAAAAATATGGTATTTGGTTATGACTTATGAGTGTTATGACGATTCAATGAATCCATTAACAATGATCAAAGATATTCGTGCGTGTGTGAGTAGAAGTAAACGCGTTATAAATCCAGAAATAACACGACCGACGCGGAACCCGATTCATCTACACTTATATTTTATCCGCCCAAGTCAGAAAATAAACAGTAGCCACGTAACGCCTATTATGATGATGTTGTTATTATAAGGATCCAGACAATTTCACCGATTGTCATATTATTCCACTGTGGGTAGATAATAATGTTCTATGCTTGCAGCAATAAAGAGATTGAAATATAATATTACAATACGAACTATACGATATGAATAAGTGTACAATCAATTCAATGCATAATAAT